TTTATTTCTAGTTTGCTGTACTTGTCATGAATGAATATTGAATTTTGTCAAATGTTTTTTCTGCATCCACTGATATGATCATGTGGCTTTTCTTCTTTAGACTGTTAGCATGGCAGACTGCATTACAAGATTTTAAAATATTGAATTAGCCTTGCATTCCTGGAATAAAACGCACTTGGTCATGGTGTGTTTTCTTCTTATACATGTATGCTGGATTCAATTTGCTACTATTTTGTTGAGGATTTTTACATCTATATTCACGAGGGACACTGGTCTGCAGTTTAATTTTCTTGTACTACCTTTGTCTAATTTTTGGTATCAAGATAATACTGCCCTCATAAAATTAGCTCTCTTCTATTTTCTGGAAGAGACTATGTAGAACTGGTGTTATTTCTCCCTTTAAGTCATTGGGAGAATTTGCAATGAAGCAATCTGCGCCTGGAGATTTGTTTTATGGTAGGCTTTTGAGTCTGGCTGCTGATTTTGTAAATAAAATTTAACTGGAACACAGCCACACCCACTCATTTACCTATGGGTACGCAGGTCCCCACTGCTGCCACTGTTACTGCTGCCACCACTGTAGGATTACTTGGGGGCTGCGATATGGGAGAACAGAGAAGAAACATAGAAAAGAAAAATGGGGATTTTCCCCCACTCTCTCTAAGCATTAGGAGACGCTTCCCCCACTCCTCAAGCTAGAATCAGAGGGCTCCTCTGGGAGCTCTTCCTGTCTGTGCTAAGGCCCTCTTCTGAGTTTCAGGCTGTCTGGAGTCCAGGCTAGGGGATACGGAAGGAAAACTAATCACAAATTTACCACCAGTTCAGTGGTACTTCAAATTCTGGTCATCTTCTCCAATTTATCTGCTGTTCCATGCATTGTGGTTTTAAAGCTGCATTCAGTGAGAAAGATGGGATGAATGCACTTACGTCACTGGGAACCAGAATTACTGTCTTTATATTGTGTTTCCCATAAACAGCATTTAGTTAGTTCTTGCTTTTATTCTGTTTATTTCTGCCTTTTAATTGGCATGTTTAGACTATTAACATTTTTTAAAAGACTTAACTTTTTAAAACAGGTTTATGTTTACAACAAAACTGAGAGGAAGGTACAGAGACTTCTCATATCCCTTGGCCCCCACACATGCAGAGCCTCCCCCACTATCAACATCACTCATTGGAATGGTACTTTTTTTTTGTTTTTTAAACCAAGGATGCGCCCACATTGATGATACATCATAATCACCAAAATTCTGTAGTTTACCTTAGGGTTCACTCTTGGTGTTACATATTCTACGAGTCTGGACACATGTAAATGACATATATCCTAATTATAATATCATAAAGAGTACCTTCACTGCCCTAAAACCCTCTGTGTTCTGTTTATTTGTATCCCCTGCCCCTGGAAACCACTGATCTTTTTATTATCTCCATAGTTTTGCTTTTTCTAGAATGTCATTACCACACATCACACAGTGTATAGCCTTTTCAGATTGGCTTCTTTCACTTAGTAATATGTGTTTAAGATTCCTCCATGTCTTTTCACGGGCTCATAACTCATTTCTTTTTAGCACTGAATGAAATTCCATCATCTGGAAGTATAGACCATTCATATTTAATATAATTATCAATATGTTTGAATTTAAGTCTACCATCATACCTTTTGTTTTCTATTTGTCCATCTGTTTACGTTCCTATCTTCTCTTGAATTGAATAGTCTTTTCAGGATTCTATTTTATCTCCACTACTAGCTTATTAGCTATATTTTGTGGTTTAATTTAAAAATTTTTAGCTGTTGCTCTGGGGTTTACAATGTACATACTTAATGCATCAGTTCACCACTAAATTGCTTCATCTAAGTGTAAGGACTTTATATTTCCATTTTCTAATTAATTTCTTTTTTAAATCATTGCCATATATTTTATGTCTCCATATGTTCTAAAACACACAATGCATTACTATTTTTGCTTTAAATAGTCAATTATCTTTTAAGAAATCAAAAAGTGAGAAAATAAAGGCTTTTCTTTGTACTCACACACATTTACCATTTCTGGCATTTTCCACTCCTTTGTTTAGAGTGGAATTTTCTAAATACTGAAAATTTTGGTGATATTTTCTTTCCACTTGACTTGAAGAGCTTACTTTAATATATTTTGTATTGTTGGTCTGCTCCTCTCTATATGTTTTCTTTTTCTCTGGTTAAAGTTTTTTTTTAAAAAATTATCACTGCATACCAGCAATTTGTTTATGATGTGTCTTGGGGTTGTTTTCTTTGTGTTGATCCTTCTTGGAGCTCACTCAATTTCTTGGAGTTCACTCAATTTCTTCAATCTGTGAGTTATAGTTTTTATCAAATATAAGAAAATTTTATCCATTATGTTTTCTGCCCCTGCTTCTTCCATGGACTTCTACTATTATATTTAAGATTGAATGCTGCATATTTTCCCACAGGTTACTGTGGATACATTAATTTTTTTAAAAAAAATCTTTTTTCCCTCTCTTTGTGCTTCTTTTTGGATACATTTTATTGCTGTATCTTTACGTTCTCTGATCTTTCCTGCCGTTAACTCCATCAAATGACATTTTCACTTCAGATGTTGTAATTTCCATCTCTAGAAGTCCTATTTGGATTGTAAATATCTTCTCATATTTTCCTATGTTCATATAAAAGTAGTTATATTTCAACATGCTTGTGTGCTAATTCTATCATTTCTGGGTTTGTTTCTACTGACTGGTGTTTTCCTGCATTCAATGTTTGATTGAATGCTGGCCCATGTTGAATTTTATGTCATTGAACATCTGATATTATTGTTCTCCTTTGTTGCTATTAAGGTTACATGCAGTTCAGTTTTTCCTCTTAAGACTTGTTTTTTAAGCTTTGTTAAGGAGCATCCTGAGTTGCCTTTACTCAAGTGATAGTTTATTCCCGCTACTATGGTCCTTCTGGACTCTCCACTGAATAGAGTCCAGAAAGATGCCCCACTCTAGCTTGATGAAATTTGAATACCCCACAGCCCTGTGTAAATGCTGGGAAATATCTGGTTCACAACTACTCCAACTGCTTTGCCTGACCTCAGGCATTTCATCCCACATACACACCATCTTAGCACTCATCTAAAACTCGAGGGCGTATCGGAGATCTCCAGAGCTCTTTTACTGACTAATGTGTACCCCAATTCTCTGCCCCAGAGCTTCTGGCTTCTATTCATCAGTACTACCACCAAAGGCTTACTACAGCTGGGTTAAAAAAAAAAATTCTTGTAACTGAGAATGACCACATTTTCCTTACTTTGAAATTTCTCTTTCAAACTCTCTGCAGGTTGTGCTATTTTAGAGGAGCCTATTGGCCTTACCATTTAAATATGAGTACACACAATGGCAATGAAAGAAATAGAGAATGCAGATGGTGCCAGAGGGCAGCATTAGAATCATATACCTTCTTCACAGTATTCTGAAAAAGCTCAATCAATTACTCTAAGCATTACTGGGTAAAGAATATTTAGGATTTCAAAATTTTACTAGGCATCAAATAATATTTTGTTGTAATTAGGTAGGAGAAAATTCAAATGCTATCTTAAATCTGCCTCAAGACTAAAACATGAAAGAATTAGTACTGCCTTTAGAATTTTAGCATTAAGACAAAAAAAATGGTTACAGTGAGGGAAAAAAGCAGTATTCCCAAAATCAATCCAAATACCAGAGCTAAACAAAAAACAAAACAAAGAAACAGAAATGAGGATGTGTTGGCTTCATTTCAGTTTTGCTGTGCTCAAGCTTTCTAGAGAAAGAGAAAAATCACGCCATCAAGGTTTTATTTCCATAGCACTGCAACCTCAAAGTGAAAAAAATGACAAGGTGCTGCTTTACTCTAACAGTGTTTATTTGCATCTACTAAATTCCTTTATGTCTCAACAGTGAAATCAAAACCACATTAGAATTTTATGAAATATTTTAAACACAAAGAGAATGATGTAATGACCTCTACTCAGCTTTGTCAAATCTTAACATTCTGCCACAGTTCCTTCAGTTTTTAAAAGAAATAGTTCAGATATATGGCACTAAACCCCCTTTGTAGCCTTCCCTGATCCTACTTCCATCCTTCCCTAAAGTGAACCACTACCATGAATTCAGCAGTTACCATTCTTAAGTGTTGCTTCTTACTTTTACTATGTGTGTGTGTACATACAGCTGTTTTACATGTTTTCAAACTTCATATAAATCATATATTGTAGGAATCATTCTGCAAATTTTTGCTCAGTGTTGCTTTTGAGAGACACACAAATAATTTGATGTTGAATATCTTTACAATGAAGTCTGTTGTACATTCAGTTTTCCTACAGTCAGGAGGCTTTCAGTGAAGATGGGACAAGAAGACTTATATGTAATAAGCAGTTAAAAAAAAAATTCCATAATCAAATTCTAACTTTTGGAGTTAAATGTGTAGGTATGTAAGAACTATAGGTGCTCGTGTAAGTGAACAATCAATGAGATGAATGTAGAATTGGATCAGTCTTCAAACACTATGTAAGATATGAGGAGGTGGACACAGTGGAGAGCATTCTAGACAAATAAAAATATATATTGAATATAATAACTACTGAATGACATTCTCTGTAATTTACACTTTACTTCTATTGGTGATATTTCTCTTTGGTCACTTGGGAAATGAGAACATTTTCTTTTATTTATATTTGCTACCTAATACGTATTAGCTATTGCATAAAGAAAAATTTTCTGATTTTGTGGTACTCAAAATAAGAGCTACATAATGTCACATATATTTTAACTGGCAGAAATTAAATTTAAATAAAAGTTTTCTTTAACTTACTTCTTTAATGAAACGATATGCCACCTAAAATTTATGTACATGGTAAACTCTAAGAACTTATCTTAGTATGTCATATTGCTTCAAATACAGTGGGCATAGAAAAAGTGGTTGTAGAATGAATGAATATTGTTTACTTCAGAATGGATAAGACATTTTCCACCTTTTTCTTTCTTACCTGCTTTAACTGAAAATGGCTTTTCCAATAGGAATACTGTTTGTTTCCAGTGTGTTTTGGTACTCTGGGGGCCCGTAGAGAATACAACCTGCGTTGGTAGAGTTCAAAAGTACCCGATGAAGTACAAGATTTTTAATATCATGGTACATTAATCTACTACATCTAATACGAGCTCCAACTGCTTACAACAGCAAAATGCTTATGATCAAACACCTTGGGGCACAAAAATAAAATACAATGTATTTCACATAATTAATTCTTATGAGACAACTCGTGATACTTACCTTGTTGTGGCAATTCTTCTCAAAATATATATCGAAGTAGCCAGCAAGTGCCTGTTTAAAAACAAAGGAATATAAATAATTATTAAACTAATTACATAACAATTGATTATACAGTTTTAAGCCATGGCAAATAAGAAACCATTTCCAATATCAGACACTCTTAAACTTATGGTAGGTCACTATTTTTCCTGGAAAACATGATATTAGTAAAAATAAAGTAATATAATTTGGCTTTTCCCCACAGAAGCAACATAATAATAAGGGCAACAAGGCTAATCAAATACTCAGTATGTGTTAAATTAGAGATATGACCGTGGTGGACCACTGAAAGGTGAGAATCTACATGGAGAAAGGATCATGCGGCCCCTCGCCCAACCAGACTCTTCCACTGAGATGCTGCCATGTGAGTCAAGCCTCCACACAACTGCAGCGGCATGAAAAACCCTAGGAGCAGAACTATTATGTAAGTCCAGTCCAGACTGCAGAAACACAGACAAGTAAACCTATATGATTTTTGACTTCAAGGCGCTACGTTTTGGAGTGGTTTGCTAACACAGCAATAAATAACTAAAACATACAGTTTTATATGAAGCCAGCTCATTTAATTTCTTCTGATCTTGTTCATCCAGTTTTAAAGCAAAGTACTATGATTATTTTTGTGATGAGATAAATGAAATTTTAAAATATTATGTATTTTTTTCCTGAAAATAAAAACAAGACTATTCAGATTAAACGTATGTGTAGGCAAATACCCAAAGAAGAAACTCCAGCATAACTCTCAGGTTTACTGTTAACAGTTTACAAAAAGGCCTCTAGAAGAAATTAACATGTTTAAATAAATAAATAATTTTCACTTATTTTTGTTTAAAATTTGAACGATACCATTCCTTTTTCTTTCACTAGTGGGACAGACTTGACTTAATCTATTTTTAAACTGGCATTAAATAAAGCTTATAAAGTCTTAAAAACTGGAAACTGATTACTGAAAAATCACTATAAAGCTAATTACTGTACTTTCCTGCTTTTGTTAAGAATGTGGAGTTTTATTGATCTGTACAGTTAATGTGGATTGGGCCCAAACCAAATTCAATATTTCATTTATTGTGCTGTTCATCGTTGCTTGTTTCCTCTTTAGTTCTTCTAGGTCCTTGTTAAATGTTTCTTGCATTTTCTCTATTCTATTTCCAAGATTTTGGATCATCTTTACTATTATTATTCTGAATTCTTTTTCAGGTAGACTGCCTATTTCCTCTTCATTTGTTAGGTCTGGTGGGTTTTTATCTTGCTCCTTCATCTGCTGTGTGTTTTTCTGTCTTCTCATTTTGCTTATCTTACTGGGTTTGGGGTCTCCTTTTTGCAGGCTGCAGGTTCGTAGTTCCCGTTGTTTTTGGTGTCTGCCCCCAGTGGCTAAGGTTGGTTCAGTGGGTTGTGCAGGTTTCCTGGTGGAGGGGACTAGTGCCTGTGTTCTGGTGGATGAGGCTGGATCTGGTGGGCAGGTCCACGTCTGGTGGTATGTTTTGGGGTGTCTGTGGCCTTATTATGATTTTAGGCAGCCTCTCTAATGTATGGGGCTGTGTTCCTGTTTTGCTAGTTGTTTGGCACAGGGTGTCCAGCACTGTAGCTTGCTGGTTGTTGAGTGAAGCTGGGTCCTGGCGTTGAGATGGAGATCTCTGGGAGATTTTCGCCATTTGATATTACATGGAGCTGGGAGGTCTCTTGTGGACCAGTGTCCTGAACTTGGCTCTCCCACCTCAGTGGCAAAGCCCTGATGCCTGGCTGGAGCACCAAGAGCCTTTCATCCACACGGCTCAGAATAAAAGGGAGAAAAAGCAGAAAGAAAGAAAGGAAAGAAAGAAAAGAAAGAAAGAAAGAGGATAAAATAAAATAAAGATAAAATAAAGATTAAAAAGTTATTAAAATAAAAAATAATTATTAAGAAAAAAAATTTTTTTAAGTAAAAAACAACAAAAAACGGATGGACAGAACCCTAGGACAAATGGTTAAAGCAAAGCTTTAAAGACAAAATCTCACACAGAAGCATACACATACACACTCACAAAAAGAGAAAAAGGGAAAAAAAAAATATATCGTTGCTCCCAAAGTCCACCTCCTCAATTTGGGATGATTCGTTGTCTATTCATGTATTCCACAGATGCAGGGTACATCAAGTTGACTGTGGAGATTTAATCCGCGTCTCCCGAGGCTGTTGGGAGAGATTCCCCTTTCTCTTCTTTGTTCGCACAGCTCCTGGGGTTCAGCTTTGGATTTGGACCTGCCTCTGCGAGTAGGTCGCCTGAGGGCGTCTGTTCTTTGCTCAGACAGGACGGGGTTAAAGGAGCAGCTGATTCGGGGGCTCTGGCTCACTCAGGCCGGGGGGAAGGGAGGGGCACGGAGTGCGGGGCGGGCCTGTGACGGCAGAAGTCGGCGTGACGTTCCACCAGCCTGAGGCCCGCCATGTGTTCTCCCTGAGAAATTGTCCCTGGATCCCGGGAACCTGGCAGTGG